GACGATAAATGAATTGGCGCATGCAAAGTATAACTGTTCACTAGGAGGTGCGGTCTTTAGGAAAATATCGAAGATGGCGGAAAAATAAGTTAGGACTAGAATCCGAGAGAAACTTAACATGATAACTTAGCAGTCAAAGTTTTTGGACATGCTAACATTCCCGACAAGATCAAGTCCAGATCTGCTTGTTGACTGGACAATCGACGCGAGAGATAAATTCATACCAGGGAAGGCGGAATATTTGAAGATAAGATCACTGCTCAACGTCGCGATTTTAGCCCAGCTTTTGTCAACCTACGCAATGTCGATTTTCTGTCATGGACACCATGGTCGAAGAGTGAACAGAAGATCTGTGGTCCCTTTTGGCGTTTTGCCCTCGGTATCTGCGACGCATCGAGTGAGCCTGGTAGGGACGGCGGACTAGCAGTGGTGTACACCAGGTGCTTTAAGGAAGAGAGAACTTTCCCGCGATGAACGAGCTATTTACACTCTATGGGTGACACCTCGGGACACGCGGACGTCAGGTTACCATCTGCCTTGCAGAGCTCTTTTTGATCGGCGCTGTATTGAGTGGAAACCACCGAAGGGCAAACAGTTTACGACGTTACAATGAGGTAATAATGCTGTCTGTCCTGATTCGGCTAGAGTCTCTTTTCCAATCGTTGCTCACGCTTACGGACATGGCTCTGTGCCTTTTCACCGAAGTTCACACTGTCACTATGTAGTTGCTCGACTTCTGACTGCAACCAGATGTGAGCATCATTTGGCTGAGTTGGCTGTCGTCCGCAACCTCTGAATATTTCTTCCTTGGTCTCCCATTTTCGGATGAATGAAACTGTTATCTAAAACCAAGGTACTCCCGATACACGGCCAATGATTGATTGACTGCACTGATTTAGTTGACCATCACTTCGTTACCGTTCTGGCTGAGTTTTTACAAGCGACCATCGATGCGCACATTTGTACTGTGTTGAAATGCCTCAGCCAGTATTGGGATTGCTTGGTATTTGGTGTGAAATCGAATTACGAGTTTGTTTCACTCAGTAGAATGTAGAACACACACAAAAGAGCTCAGGAAAGTGCAATCTACATATCACGTCAGTTGTGCAAATCATAGAACCCCAACGTCGGGTGGGACAAAAATGGATTATCTGTGTCAAAAACTCAGGTAAAAAGGTATATTTTTGTCCCAATAAAACCTGCGTTCAGGCCTTCACACATTCTTCCTTTGTCCCTCAACCTCACTCTCCCATATCGTTGCCTCTTCGTGTGTCACCATGTTAGTTAGGTATGGACGTCTATAAACTAGCCCGTACAGCTTGCCACACTTGAAGTTCGAGTAGAGGACGCCTGTTCGCCAGACTTACGCATACGCTGCACGTGCGTGCGTGTGAACTCGTGACTGGCTACGACGTTGGTGTGTCTGTAATCCATGAATCACTGGCCAAGCTGTTCAGGGGGATGAGTCCCACGCCAACCGCGGCTAGAAAACACAAATTCCACTGGTTGACTTGACGGTTGGATCGATCCTGCCGAATTCCTTGCATGGTCTCCCGCCTGCGGCAGTCTGACAGCTTGTATGGTAGGCCGAGGATTACTGCTTTCGATGCAACTAAGGTCTGTTTAACTGCTAGACGCATAGAGCTATGATGGACGAGGATATTGAAGGTAGGTAGCATCATTCTCATGGAAGCCTGAATCTTATCAGAATTGAAAAAGATCGCTCCCCTTCGACATCGTTACAAGTACCACTCGAAAGAAACCAAACAGTGCGTCATTAATGCTTATATCGAGGGCAAAGAATGGGTCAATGTGGTACTATCTCTGGGAAGGTTTGTACTGCCCGTGAATGGATCAAACGGTTCAGTTCAGTAGAGAAACGCGGGCAACACGGCGGTGCCAGGCGTCATCTACTCACCGATCATCGCGTGGATACAATGTTAGAGTGGATAAGGGAAAATGCGTCACTTACCTTAAGAATGCTACGAATACGCCTGTTTTCTGAATACGGAATCGATGTTCCTCTCAGAACCGTTTCAAACTATCTGGATGGCAGATTGTTCACACTGAAAAGAGTTCTTCCCACAGTGACAGAAACGATCAACCATGAGGAATTCAAAGAAAAGAGACGGATGTTTGCTCTCAATCTCCTGTCTGCTCGAGCGGATAAGAAAACTATAGTGTGGCTTGGTGAGACAGCATACAAGCTGTTCTGCAGCCGATCACAGCAGCAGACACGCGCGTGCTCGGTCCTAACAAACTCTCGGGGTCAGACCCTACATGTGCTCAGCGCTATTACTGAGACGGGTCCTCTGAACTTTGATATGAAGCGCGGAATATACACCAAGGAACGGTGCATCGAATGGTTCGAGCAGTTGGTCACGAACTTGGCGGTTACGGAGAACTGCAGCCACTTGCTGCTTGTTTGTGACAATGCTCCTTGCCATTCAGACCTGGAAGAGGTATTTCTTCAGGGCAAATTCCAAGGAGCCGGGTTACTACGAATACCTCATCATTCAACGCAAATGAACCCGCTGGAGAGCATGTGGATCCAGTTTGAATCCCACTTGAAATCGCTAATGATTGCGCGCCACAAGGAGATATTACAGGGTGACCCAGAAGGTTTAATTCAGAAGTATGAATACCGACTGAGATTGTTGGAACAAAACGTTCTAGCCACAAAGGCGAAAAATTTTATTCCAGAATATTGTGCTGAGGCTGTTTCGCATGTTTTTTCGTACTGCCAGAAAATTATCATTTCCCAAGACACATAATTTACATACATATTTTTCATCAATGTGTGCTTTCTTTCTCAAGTGTCTGCGCTGTTACGCATACGTGTAGAATAGACCGACCTCCTGACCGTATTGGTAACGGGAAGCCATACTGATCGCACGTTATCAGCATTTTGAAACCTTCCAGTAGCACGCTTCCTGAATTTTCGCCCTCAACGATTTCGGAACTCAGTGTTTTTCTGCCGTTGGTTGTCAAAGACCTCACCGACATCGAGCAGAACCTTGAACTTGTTTTCCGTAGTACTGTTCCTAGTGGGGTGTATTTTCGAGACTACTTGGACGGTTGTAGATGATATCTTCCGTCTGATTGACATTCTTGAGGATTTTTAAGCTTTTCAAATAGCATGGGAATATCACTGAAAATCTTACCACAACGGACTATCGGCTTGGGGCTCATCTGGCAAGAACAGCTCTCAGGTTGATTACTTATCTGCATTGATGGTTGTTCTTACTGGTACTAAGGGCAATTTGCTCACAAAACTCGTGTTGGTTCATTTCAGTCTTAAGATGAATTCATGGGCTCAGCTGTGATGCCCGCCATGTAACTCGCATGGTTCACAAGGAATTAAATGATGACGGGTTGCCAAAACCTAAACAGCAGTGATTGAGTGCCAGGCGTAAACTGAAAGCATATATGAACTCACGTCTTTGTTCAATCACCAAAATAAATGTTTGATATTATTTTAAAGTGTGCGCCAAACTTTGGGAAACATTGCGTTTGGGTTGATATTGCCTGTTGTAGTTTGGTAAGGTCTCCCTTGTTTTGTTGTCTTTAGTGCCCCCATAGTCTGTGTTTTGCTTCGTACCCAGACAACTGGACGTCCATTCAAAGCATATGACTTCACCGCACAGTCAGCCCTTTGTTTATTTCGTTACTGCTATCCCGAAAGATAGATTCAGTATTTCGATGAATGTCGGATTACTTTTAAAAGCGTTAAAACCGACCAAAATTTAAAAAAAAAACTCCAGCTGGCGGGTTCACCGCCATTTGCTTTGAACGGGGACCATATTCAATTGAAGAGTGCGAAATTCGGCCTTTTGCAACTTCTACAAGCTTTGGCATTACAGTCACGCGTGATGAACAATGCATTCATTGGTAGGAATAAAACAGGTCAGTAGGTAACAGGAGTAGAACGAACGGATGGAATTAGTAGTTTGGGTAAAGCACAACTGATCTTGCGATGTGACTGGCACCAGTCAGCAGCAGACATGGTACAGTTAGAATAGTATATATTAGGCCAAAGGAACTCACACTTTCAAGGGGACTTTATGATGCTGGACAAGCGAGCCTGAATAGTGTGGCCACTTGCCTTCTGAGCAATCAGTCTATTGAGGCTTTATAGGATGCTTCCTATGTTCTCCTACAGGTTACTGAGCTCTGACATGTGATTCCAACTGTCTGTTTGCGCAAACAACGCTGCAGGTGATTTAATAATAAAAGGTGACTGACAGCGGCCTATGATGGATCGAAGGGCGAGACAAAGGTCTGGCTTTAACGGCTACGATAGTGGTTCAACAAATTTCATTTTTCTTCAGCCACCACGTAGCCTATAGCCGATTGTGGATAGGAATGAGCCTTCGGACGAATGGTGGATAAGCTCTTTGGAGTAGTAGTAACCTTGTCCCGAGTCATCCATGTTACCAACCGCAGTAGGTAGTCGTAGTAGACTAGAGCACTATCGTAGGGGACAGTAGGTCTTTCAGCAGTCAAAGATGAACGGGAGCGGTATTTCTCTACGCTTGCATGAGGCGGTCGCTGTCCTGTTGGAGGGCGGAGCTTTTAACACTCGGATCCTCAGACAGGAACTGTTGGTTGATCCGATGTCATTTACCCATTCTGGGTCTATGCATATTTATTCGTACTGAAGACCTAAAATCCACCTCTAACTGTATTATCCCTATACCCTGTCCCATAAAATGCAATGCCCATTGCCCGTATTCTATTCTATTCGGGTCCTTTTGGAGGTGGTGTGTAGGATCCAATGTCAGTGTAATGGGTCGTGGAAGGTTTTCACAAGCAATCGTAAAGGCGTGATGAAGTGATTCTTTGAACAGAACATTCGCTAGTCTTCACTTCCTGATATGAATATGGTGTAACTTATACCGTACATTACTAACCCCACGACTCATTATTACCATATGACCCGATTATGACCGTCATTTACCATTTTGTTCGGTCACTTAGTGATCTACAGTCCATACACAATGTCACGAAGAAAGCTTGAACAACGTTTTCCTAATGGCAGCACTCCATCGAAATAGGACAAATCTGCAATGACCCTGTCTTAACGAGACCTATCTTTTTGGTCCCTGAGTGGCTTTCCCACGTTACAATTGACTCTGAGACTCGATTCCTTTTGAAATCAGCATGTGCCAGTGCATTGTCCAGAGGTTGGCCAGAGTACGACCGAAAATGCATAGTTTCCCAAAATACCACGGTAAAGTGCGAAATCCAGAGCACTTCATCTTAGGTCAAATAGACGGAACCGACATAAACTGTAACGCTTATGTGGCTGAGTACTTTCTTCCTACTATCATATCGGAACATGCCTCAGTTGAGTAGTACCTAGTATTGATTCAACTGAATTACATTTCAGAACAATAGGTCTGTTAGGATTGCACCACACGATCGTAACAGCGGTTGTTCGAGCACATAACGGGCACTGGTTTTTGAACTTAACAAATTGCCTGAACTGTCCCTAAGCATACTCCCGTAGTTTCCATCTCGGGTGATGTGGTTAGGTGAGGGGTGTACTGGGTTCACTTGCATGGTAAATCAGCCTATCTTGCCAAGTACAATCAAAATCATGCCTGTTTCACCTTCCAAATCATGGAAGAAGGCTACTGTGACCGAAGCAGTCGGATCTACCATGCAAACCCCATTAATATTCGTGCTAGTTAACTGAACAAGATACCGTCATTGCTACGGAATACAAGTGATCCCGTCACATCCCCGGCATTTCAGCCTCCGGTTTAAATGTGTTGACTTGCTTTGTGAAGAAAATTATGCCCCGTATTCATTGTTTTTAATTTTGGAAAGAGGTTGCCATTCCTTCATAACCGGTAACTGCGAAAACGCTCAGACAGACTGTGCCATTGTTTAATACAGAGCATCATTGGCACTGGGGCTTCACTGCCGTAGTGCAGAGCAAATCCCATCCGATATTGTATTACGAAATTGTTTAGATTTTGTTTATGACACTCACTGGTGCTGGTCGTTTTTTCACAGGTGTTCCTTCCATCTGTCCAGTACGGCCAGATTTTCTTTGCTTTTTCGGAGTCCTGATAGACATGGAGTCTTGAGATCACGTTTGTTTGACCCGATCCTCGCCTTCCATAGTATTGATCAGTTGTTCATATCCTATTGTGCGCACTTCCACCCCACAACAGCTCCTCAGACATCCCGTTCGCGATGATCGATCCGAGGTCACAGCTCTACGTCGACAATTGGTTGAGTCTACCGATCAAATACATAGTCTCAAAGGTGAAGTGAGTCCCAATTTTGCATGGTTATTCCCGCTTCCATTTAGTCCGAAATTCTGCCCATTGAATTCCTCAAGTTCACAATCGTCTACGAAGTACAGACTGTCCATTTTGTAACATTATCCAGTAGTGAGTACGACAACCATATTTACACCACCAGGTATTCCAACTGCAAACCCAGTTGGAGCGACTCCGAGTGAATAACACTCAGTTGGTCAACCAGCGGGACGAAGCAACTGAACAGGTTCGTCTACTGAACGATGCGCTTTCACAAGAGAAAGAACTGGTTGAAGTTACCCAGCAAGCGTCAGAGAATGAGATATTCCGTCTAAATACCATAACCAAACAGCAGGGCAAACTCATCGACCACATGTGTGGTTTGCTGCCACCGGAACATCAACTGCCCATGCGTCGTTTGGCTAACGCGGGTCGCTCCGGTCTGGTTCACGATCCTTCGGTGTTGTTTGGCACAAAAAGATCGAATGTGAAAGCGCTTGGTCATCATGCTTTCAAGACAAGCGGCCGGCGTTCGCGTAAACCGGGTCCTGACGAAAGTGATCCGTCATCTTCAGGTGCTGGTCCACTCATCGCTGCTGCGTCGGCTTTCTTTGGACGTCGGCGTCCAACTGGACCCGGAAAATCTGAGCGGTAAGTCTGTTCAGGGAGCGTTTTGTTCGTTTTAATCCCCCAGGGGGTCTATGTCACTGTTTCTTTCGTAGTTGAAAACTGATAAGCATTCGATTGCATCCGCTCGTGAATGTCATGTCTCGCTACTGTAAAGAACTTTTACAGAGATACTTGTAATCAGCACGGCGGTCCTGAATTTAGTATAGGTGTGGAAATGATCTGCGAGGCATTGCTTTGCTTTGTTGGCTATCACTTCAGTTGTTTAGCCAGTGTTGGTGGGATTTCCCGGATAGATAGACGTTCTGTCTACTTGTGAGATGTTCCCACCGGTATTTGGTTGCTAGGAATCGGGCTGAAAATCAAGTAAAATTACCTTGCCACTGATGGTGTGAAACGTTTTCGAATGTGCCGCAAAGTCGTTTGCAGTCTGTATCCACAAACTGTAATTGTCGAACTATCACATGGGATCAGCTCAACAATCTCACAAACTGTTGCATTTAGAACATCCACCAAGGCTTCATTAACAGCGATGTTGAACAGGAACTTTGATAGTGAATAGCTTTGTCGTATTTCATCGGAAATATTAATGGGAGCTGACGATAGTCCCTAGATTTTGACTCAAACGGGGGTCTGTGCATATAGTGACCGGTTGATGCTGATTGTTCTAAAGAGCGACTCGGCAAAGTGAGCCAAATAGCCTTTTGATACCAGCGAATGTGACAAAGGCCGAGCAGCGATAATTCCGGTGGTTCTCCGGCAGTTGGCTTTCAGGATAAAAACTTTTTTGGTCTGCAGTTTGTGATATGGAGACAGCTGGCAAGGAACAATGGATTTCTCGAATATCGTACCTACTGAAATATAAAGCACCTTTATATCATAAACAAGAGATTCAGCTGGGATTCAGTCGGGTCCTGTTAAAATGAGTGCATTTAACGAGTTCCGCACAAATGCGTTCAAGTAAGACAAAGTCGGTGGAAATTCTCGGACTAAACCTATCTAATAAGTCCAAGGAACGGTAAAACCAACCGTGGGCTGTCGAAGAGCTTCCAGCAACCTCGTGAGTAGTATTACGTCAACAGAACGTTTTGCTATTCAGGTCTGCAACCCGTGGTGTGGAGACAACCGTTGAAGGATGATAGATGTTAATAGTTTTGGCGCGGTGTTCCTTCAACTGATTCCACGGTGGCCATTGTCACCACCGTGCTTTTAGGCGCGTTCTTTTTTAGGATGTGACGACAGAGGCGCATCCTGGGGACAAACATGTCCTTCCTCACAGACGTTGTACTCTCCAGCCAATTCACGTCAATGGCGTGCAAATGTTATCTTTCATAACCACAGAGACATTTGGCACGTGATGACACGTGCCGTCTGTGACCGCATAGATAAATTTCTGGCTGTTTTGACTTCTGAAGCTCGTTCCATTTGGCGTTTGTGTGAGGTTGAAATGTCTGCACCAATATGGCCCTGCCCTGTTGGTCGTCGCGATCACCGGTAAACGATCCACTTAATACACCTACTCCCCAATATAGAGCTGTACAATACAATCGTCCAAGTCCTGAGGTCAGTTCATTTACGAAAAGCACCATACGCGGAGTAATTCTCGGCCTTTAGATGCATCAATCGAAACCTGTCGCTCAAGTTCATGAATACTACCGTACGTCTTCAGAAGCATCAAACAACTTCGTTAGTGTTGATGAAGATATCGTTAATAGGAGGATTGAATCGATTTGCGCGTATGCAGGGTGTGGTTGGTATCTTCACACACCACAGACAAACCTCCGTTTTTATCGTGGACCTTCACACCGGACCTTGATACCGAATTCTTGCGCTTGGAAGGCGGTCTGATCCTAGTTCATTGTTGTTCCATCTGGTTACTCCTCTCTTATGGGTTCGATCAAATTCGATGTTGGTTTGAAATTCTTGTCCACCCATAAATCGTGCAGCAGGAGTTTGTTTTTCTCCTTCTGATAATCCGCTCACTTCAAAAACCACCTTTTCGCAGAATCTTGTCAGAGACGGATGACAAGTCCTCCGGTCCGCATCCATTCACAAAACAACCTAGTCGCTTGCAACGTATAGTGCGTAAAAGTCGACTCCGCTTCAAGAGGCGTACCTGTGTCCAGTCGCGTCCAACTGAACCAGCTGCCATCGAGAGTGACCAAGTATTTACCGAGGACGAGGATGGAGATGAACAATTCGGTTACTATTCACCTGATCCGGCAAGCGACTTTGACAGTGACCTACCTTATCGGTCTGTGCCTTTTCAAGGGGAACGGGTGGCAGCTGCAACGCCCCAGTCCGGTGGCACCGCAGATCCACTATCATATGAAGACAGTATTTCGTCGGGTCCCAGCACCACAAGTTCTGCCCCATCGGGACAGATAATCGAATCCAATCCGAAAAGTAGTTTCTGGCGCCCCCAACGCTCTAAACTTCGCGTTGGTTGGGCTGAAGGTTCACGTGAGGCTGAACTGATCTCGGTTAGTGAATGTTTCTGCTTTCTGTTGTGCTGTATCACATTCTGACTCGTACAGTGATCGCGAACTCCAGTGACGAGCTCACACCGACTATCAAAAATGATCCTATGCAGAGTGCGCCCCCCCCCCCCCCCACTCTGCGCAGGGCGC